ACCGGGGGCTGGGCTGGACGGACCTTGGGTCTGACCCCGCCTGGCCGCTGTCGTGTTCTCTGATGGAGGGGCAGGCCTGAGGGAAAAAGCTGCCCCGAGAACTGCCCCCGTCCCTCCAGTAGAACCTGCATCTTCCCCTCGGCCCGTGACGTCTCCTGGGCACGCCCCGTTGCTAAGGCGCCTCGAGATGCGCGGGGCCCTGGAGACGCAGGCCCAGTGCCTGGAAAGGGCCTGTCACCGAGTCCCCGGGCCCCCCCCCCCCGCCGTGGCCTGAGGCGACTCTCGGCCCACGGGGCGAACAGAAGGTTTGTGCGTCGACAGGGACGCCGTGTAGAACAGACGTGTCAGCACAGGAACCAGAAGCAGCCGGTACGATCCAACTCAGGGGGCCCCAGAGCCAAGCCAAGCCCCCGAACCCTGCACCCCAAGCCAGCCGAGACCGACTCAGCCCCTGCCTAGCAGCCTGGCCCCCCAGTCCCTCCTCTGCCTTTTTTGTTCTCCTTCCCAGACCAAAGGTGCCATCTGTCCGCACCCCTAGGGTAGCCCCCCCCCGTCTAGGTACTAGGACAGTGCCGGGGGAAACTGAGGCACACACGTGGGGTTAGTACAGGACAGGAGCACTCACATGCACTATAGCAACGCGAATACAACCCCCACTTCCTCACAGGGACTCCAGGCTGTCCCAGCCGGCGGGGCCCACAGGCAGCGGGAGAGAGGCCAGAGGGTCTTGCGCTGCTAGACCTTAGCCCTAGGAGGGCTGGAGGGAGAGGAAACCCCCTGGGCAGCCCACCCAGCCCTAACCGCTCCCAGCTCATTGCTGGGCAGGCAGGGGGAGCAGGAGAGGGGATTCGGGAACAGAAGGGGAGGCAGGGAAGGGAGACTCAGAAAAGGGGTTGGGAACTGCTCCCAGCCTCCAGGTCTTGTCCGAACTCCCCCGGCTGCTCTCGTTCTGTTTGGACAGCGCCTAGCACAGCGGGGTCCCGATATGCGCCCAGGGCGCCTTGGGGCTCTAGCAACCCAATCCTACTCCCCCTACGAGCCTCCTTCCTCCTCGCTCGGCCACACCAGCCTCACGCCCAGAGCCTTTTCCACCCTCCGGCCTCTCGGCTGCACAGCCAGAGACGTTCCCTGGCTCCCCAGCCAGCTAGCTGGAGCAAGGCCCTTCCTGCCGCGCAGCCCCACTGAGCCCGCTGCTTCCAAACAACGTGGGCGTCTCTTACCTGGTTTCCTTTGGCCTCCAGAGTCTTCTCCATCGTCTGGCAGGGGAGAGACCAGGTCCTCGTCTGGAAGGGGGGGAAACGAAATGCAAGAGCTTGGTTAGCAAGGGTTCATGGAAACGGTTGACCTTTGGGAGGCGTGGGCAGCATGGGGACATCCCCACGTCACCCAGAAGAGGAGTGGAACTTCCCCAAACCGCTCAGAATTGTCCTAACTCTGGTCCCACAGAAGTCAGCAAAATTCCCCTGGACTTTTCCCGGCTCAGAACTTGGGACTTTTCCGTGCTGCCTACCGCCACGGAGCCGGAACGCCTGACACTCTCATTCTAGCCAGTCCCTGCCCCAGGCATGAGATCCAGGACTGGACACCCAGAAATGGACATCTCGGGACAAATGGGGCCGGGAAAGCCCTCTAAGCACACACAGAATTAACGCCAGGGTGGGGCTTTTAGAAGACACAGAACCGTTCTGCGGAAGAAGCAGAGATGCGCTGCCAGGGGCAGCCGTACGGAATCGACAGAGGAGAGGTTCCATTAGGAGACTGATCGAATGACTTGGACTGAGAGGGCTCTGGACCCTCAAACCCAGTGTTTCTGAAACTTTTTAAGACTGAGGAACACCAAACTATTTTTTTTTATGCAGAGCATCATGGATTTTTTGTTGAGCAAAAAAAAAAAAAAAAGTCAGCTATCCCTTTAAGGCCATTTTGAACTCTCTCCACTGCACACCTCCAACTGCCTTGCGATTCAGTCGATTCAGAGCTTAAAATCTGAGAGGGAGACAGAGACACGCCCCCACTCCGGGGACAGGTGTTATTTTACAGCGTGTGGCATAACCCCGTCCTTTGCTAGGGAAAACCAAATGGCTCGCGCTGGCCCCAGACATTGACGTGGCCTTGCGTAAGCATCACATGGGAAGAACCGTTTCATGTGCTGGCAGGGACGAGAGGCTGCACGGTCGGTTCCAGGACATGGAGAAGGTGGGATGGTTCCTTGAAAGAACCAGGGCTGGAGGGGAGTCTGAAGGAGGAAAGAGAAAGGACGCCCGGCCAGGAAGACGAGAGATGCCGCTCCAGGCACAGAGGGCAGATGGGACATGGTGCAGAGGCCGGGGGAGTAGCCGTGAAGGGGGTAGGGCAACGGACTGTGCAGAAGAGGAGCACAGAGCAGGGAGCTGCTGGGGGCGCATCTTGGGGGCAGCCGCGTTCGTCTGATTCCGCAAAACACAGCGAGGCATCGCGGCATGCGTGGGCTGGAGCTCGTGCCGCCAGGAGCGTGGAAACTTAGGGTGGCTGGGTCTGCAGAGGTGGGCAAGATGCATCACGACGGGGAGGCCCCGAGCGAACGAGATCCACCCGAGCAGGTTGCATGGCGCCTGCTCCCGAGAGTGGATAAGAAGGTGAGAATGCCCAGTGGGGGGAAATTGTTTTGGGTTGGGAGCCCTCCCTGGCTCCCGTCAGCCCCACGTGCGCCCCGAGGAAATGTCACTCAGGAGCAGAGAACGAAAGGCTTGTCCAGCCCCAGTGCTGGGACCGGCGGAAGCAAAGTCAAGTTTGGCGAGGTCCGCACACGCCCCTGGTGCGGACACACTGAAATCGGTTCCGGTGGCTTTGTTTAAAATCGGTAAATGACCATTGGCACCGGAATTCCCTCTCCCGGGGCAGGCGGATGCCAGGCCCTGTCACTGGGCTATTAATCCAGGGTCAGCGCCCCCCGAACACGCACCAGGTTTGCCAACGCTACAAAGGCTCAGTCTTGGTGGGGCGGCCCCTTTCCGGCTCAGGGGTGTGAACCAACACCCCTCCCCACGCACAGCAAGTGGACAAGTGCCCGCGGGAAGCAACGGGTTTATTTTCGTAGTGTAGGCAAGTCCGATCAGGAGCAGGGGTACCAGCATGGGCGTGAGCCCAAAGGCACCGACGTCTACTCTGGGAACCAAGGTGCGGAGGGCCTTTCTAATAAAGCCAGGGCTGGATCTTTTGCTGATTCTGTGCAACCTGATCGCAAGGCGGTATCTCATCTGCTGTGCTGAAGCACTTTCCGAAGATGGAGTAGCCCCCCCTCCCCGCCCCGGCCCGGCCCCAGCTGTCTCTTCCTCCCGATTCTAATCAATGCAAATCAGGTCAGGGCTCCACGGTGAATTACAAATTGGATCCGAAGTTGGAGGGTCACTGCAGCGGCTCCCCCATTAGACGGGAAGTGGCACCGAAGATCTTTTCTAAATAAATCAGACTTTATTGTAAAACTCGGCCACTGACGAGACGTAACCTCATTAGCATTGATTTTAAAATAAATTATTGAAAGTGGCTTTTGCCTGCTCTTTGCATTTGTAAGAGAGAATGTAAATGTATCTGCAGCCATGCTCGAAAAAAGAAACCCACTGTCCAGGCAATCAAGGCTAGATGGCTTTATCCTGTCGGACAACGGCACTTAATCCCGCCCTGGGATGAGAATGGGAGAGGGAACAAATAAAACCGATTCTTCCAGGGCAGCTCAGGTCCAGAAGCGATCCTATTTCTCATTGTGCCTGGAGTCATCTCCCAGGCTACTGCTAGACACCGGAATAAATCGCCTGGGGAGGTTGTGGAATCGCCATCACCGGAGATATGGAAGAGCAGGTTGGACAGACGTCTGTCAGGGACGATCTAGACAGTATTTGGCACAGACGTCTATCAGGGACGATCTAGACAGTATTTGGCACTGCCGTGAGGGCAGGGGACTGGACTTGACGACCTCTCCAGTTCTAGTGGTCTGTGAGTCTATGATTCTACAGCTAGTCTTAGATGTACAACACCATCACTACCAACACGAGCACACCGACAATGACGGGAGAAGGAAGCCGATGGGGAGAAACCAATTCTCCCCCGCCAAGGAGGATGTTGATTAGAGAAGGGCTAGCTAACGCTAGAGAGAGGCAGCATTTCCCAGTGGTTAGAGCAATTAGCTTTACACTCTGGGGACTTGAGTGTAAGCGACTTGAGCGACTGCCTGGATGATCTTGCGAGGGACTTAGATAACAAGGCAAGGGAGGTCATATACGCACCTAGTCCAGGCAGACATAGAAGCCAAAGTGTCAGAGAATCCTAGAACATTAGAACTGGAAGGGGCCTCGAGAGTCATTGAGTCCAGTCCCCTGCCCGCACGGCCGGACCAAGCACCATCTAGACCAGGGTTTCCCAACCTATGGGTCACCATTTCAAAAGGGTCGCCAAGTGTTTCCCCAGGTGGCTCTGCTCCTGCCCCCCCATTTTTGAATTGCCTTGGGTCACCAAGTGTTCCTGAATTGTCAAATGGGTCCCCATCTGGAAAAGGTTGGGAATCTCTGACCTAGCCCATCCCTGGCAGGCGTCTGTCCAACCTGCTCTCCAATATCTCCAGGGACGGAGATTCCACAACCCCCCCAGGCAACTTATTCCCGTGTTTAACCCCCCTGACAGTTTCACCCCTCTGACAGGCAGGAAGTTTTTACCAATGTCCAACCTAAACCTCCCTGGCTGCAGCTTAAGCCCATTGCCTCTTGTCCGGTCCTCAGAGGCCAAGGAGAACAATTTCCCCCCCTTCTCCCTGGAACACCCTTTTAGATCCCTGAAAATTGCTCTCCTGCCCCCTCTCAGTCTTCAATTTTCCAAACTAAACAAGCCCAGTTCCTTCAGCCTTCCCTCCTAGCTCCTGTCCTCTAGACCTTGAATTATTTGTGTTGCTCTTCTCTGGACCCTCTCCAATGTCTCCACATCTGTCTTGAAACGTGGAGCCCAGAACAGGACGCAAGACTCCAACTGAGCGCCACCCCCATCCCCATAATGCCAGTCTTTTCGGAGGCTAGGAAGCGAGATGGAAAACATCTGGGTGGCTTGGGTGGAACAAAGGATTTGGCACAGCCTTGGGCGTGCAGATTTCTTGACTGGCTTCCCCTTTATTGCCCCACACAACCCCCCCGCCCTGGGCAGAGGGAAGGTCTGGGGCTCAGAGCATAGGCTTATTGGGAAGTTGAGTGTCTACACAACCAGTCTTTTCGGAGGCTAGGAAGCGAGATGGAAAACATCTGGGTGGCTTGGGTGGAACAAAGGATTTGGCACAGCCTTGGGCGTGCAGATTTCTTGACTGGCTTCCCCTTTATTGCCCCACACAACCCCCCCGCCCTGGGCAGAGGGAAGGTCTGGGGCTCAGAGCATAGGCTTATTGGGAAGTTGAGTGTCTACACAACTACTCGCTTCCTCCTCTGCCTTGCTGCCTCTGCATCAGAGGCAGCAAGGGGGTGGGAGCAGGAGCAGGAGCAGGGGCTGGGGCTGGGTGGGGGGGGGAGGGGGGGGG